TCTGCCGGATTGAGAACACACACGGAGACACACAAAGAAACAGACACACATGCTGGATACATAGGTCCTAACGGGGCGAGGGTCGGGGGGTGGAACAAAAGAATCAAATTGAACATTTTCATTTCCCTCATTCACTTAAACACACACAGTTTCAAAACTGACTACATACTATTTTAATGTAGGAGAAGATGAGAAAAAAATGTTTCATCATCAACATGGGTTAAATGTTTGGCTGATTTTATGCAGCGGGGAAGGATATTTCCCTTAAATTCAGACACATGCAGCTAATGAAAACCGACAAGTTAAAGTGAAAAATCCACCTCTTCTTAATTCTGTCCAGTCTGCAGCTCTGCCGACCATCTGTCTCTGCCACCACTCTGTAACACAGCCTGGGTGTATCCTTGAGCTCCATTAAATGCAAAAACAACTTTAATTTAAGTAATGCACCCTCGGACTGAAGTCATTTGAACATAAGGAAAACTGTCAAAGTGATGGAGAGCAGCCATTTTATTTTGCACTTCATGTGAAACAACGTCGCACCAGCCGAGGGTTGTGCTGAATTCCCACGACTCGAGGGCCGAAACTCTGTTGCTCTCCAGTTCGACGAGATCATTTTAAGACCCGCTGAGCCACGTGTTCCATAAATCACGTCGAGTGACAACAGCAAACAGACCACAGGCAATAAGGCTCATTAGAAAGAGGAGAAAAATATGGTGCTCATACAAATCCATGTATTTTAGTACCATTTCTGCTCTAAAACGATTTTTTCTTTTTCGCTATACATTTATTTACAGAATGCAAGCGCTTAATCACAATCACTGAATCTTTGGGCTGCACTAACTCTGCCTCCAAATTTGATTTTGAATGAACACGTTATAAATCGGGTTGCTGAATTCCACCTTACTGATGTAAAACATAGCATTTCCTGTTTCCCTGTAGCCACAAACGTAGGACTCTAATCTACACCTACACAACCAAATACATTTCCTTTGCACTTGTTTTAAGTCAGGCATGGGCAAACTAAGGCCCGGGGGCAGGATGTGGCCCCTTTGGCTTTTCGATATGGCCCACCAAACTCGTCCAAATTACATAATTAATTTAGGTTTTTAGGTCTGCCTTTTCCCTGAAATGCCCTGTTAGATGGTGCAGAAAAGGCTAAAAGCATTTCCGCATTTTAGCCTTTGGCCTTAAGTGGGCTTCAGTCCAGATGTCTAGACAAACAACACACTCCCTATGTTTTGGACTTTGCAGGGAAACACCTGGGATAACCCCAGAAAACCCGCCCATACACACAAACAAAAAGGCTTCTTCAAAGAAACTGCGAAATCCCTGCACATGAACCAATAAATGCCACGATGTAAGACGTCAGTTCTCGCCACTGTTTTCCACATACGGCCGCAGACATAATGTCAGCTTGAGTCCCGTTTAGTGGAAAACTGAAGGTACAGCACAACGGGAGTCAGAGCACACAAGAATACTTCATGTACTTAGCAGCGACACATCTTATCATTTCCAGACATACAGACATTAACAAGTGACAAGAGCTCTCCTCCTTTTGTGGCACATTTCAGGCACAGTTAAGTCACGCCTCATTGTTCATACGACATTAATTACCCAACACACCCTTGCGCGCTCACACACACTCTCAACATGTAGCTCATTAAGATATTCCCAGGGGTTCTGAGCAGATGAGATGTAATGACGAGACGAGGATTGTTTTGTTTTTGTTTTTTCAAATTAAGTTTAAAAAAAAATATTTGTTTTTGTTTTAACAACTGAAAGCTCAGATGAAATTAATACATTTTTTCAAAAAATTTAACACAGAAATTAAAACATGTTCTGGAACAAAACCTATGCCTTCATCTTAAAGGAATTGGCTTTGCAGACATTTAAAGAAGCTGCTAAAGAGTTTCCGTCTCCTTGACTCCTCCTACTCTACGTCGGCCCACTCCTTAGGAAGGTGAAAAGCCGAGGAGATGTTGGTACGTGGGTACGTGAGATGAATTAAGGATGGCAAAAACATATCAAGATATATTATTATTATTACAATATTAGTCTCAAAATATTTGACCTAAATACATGTTTTTATATTTACGTTCTCCCCAGTTCTGTTTATTCCTAAAGAACATGAACAACATGAAGTTTCTATGTTCCTTGCCTTTTCTGTTGCTTTTCTCACAGTTTTTATTATTTCCCCCAACCTGCCAAAAAAAATCTGCTGTTTTTCTGTTTAGTATGGCTAAATAAAACAGTAACACACACACACACATTTTTAAACATGGTGTTATCGGTTAGCAACACACCATTTCTTGGCTAAATAAAACAGTAACACACACACATATTTAAACATGGTGTTATCGGTTAGTAACACACCATTTCTGGGATCCCAGCCTAGTTGGACTTACTGTGTTAACTTTTATGTAAATTCTTTCTTTGACCCTTTCATCATCCACGTATGTTGTTTTTCCACTCAGTGATAATCTGGAACATTCCCAGATTTCAATAAATAAGGTGAAAAAAACGCCTTCAACAATTAGACGAGCAGTTGGACTGATAACATACCTTAGTGTACGGAAAAGAGGATTTAAAAAATAAGACGAATAATAAATAATAAATAGTTACAATTGCACAAAAAATTTGGCGGAATCAAATATTTCACCCCGAATTACACAAATGTTACCTGAAATGCTGCAAAAACGAACTAGAACGAAATACCCAGAACATCTGTGGAGATGAAATAAGATCAGGGATAAGTGAGCAGTGAGTTTAATATTTGTATGATTCGGTTAAAATCAAGATGGTGTATTATTTATCTCAGTACTACTAGCTTATTTGTTATAGATGACATATTTAAATATATACCAGTGAGCAGTCTTTTTTTACGTGTATACATTTCACAACAGTCACATCTGTGTCCGAGATCGGCGATCCTACCTCTCACCGCACGTGTGCCTCGGACTGTTCCCTCATAATACGGCTTATAATTTTAATGAAACTCTTTTCTCTAATAACGCCTTACATCATTCCCTAAGTGGTTCGGAGTTTTAAAGGTGCTGCATTAGTCATTAGCCAATTCCTGGGCGATGAAAACGACTCCGAGCTTAGTCAGCGGGAATCTCAAGTTGGAGAGTTCATCCAATAAAATCTTAATAGCTAATAGAATGAGACGAGATGCTGCGCATTGGTGACGAGTGCAAACGTAAGGAGATCCTGCCCCTTGGTTTCTGCATTACGTGCGTTATTCATTACAAGTGTTTGGCTTGTACCGTTGCATTCAACTCGCGGTGATAAATCCAGGCCATATCTCCTCTATGACGAAGACTGTTTCAATGCTAATTAATCTGTGAAGGCCAGTTTAATTCAAACGTTTTAACATTTTTGATGCATGTGCAGAACGATGCACACACTGCATATCCAATAGTATGACGTACACCCACGTATTGTAAGGAAGGGTCCTTGGACAAGGCACAGAAGCCGGTTGTCAGCAGAGCGTCAATCAGAATTCTACAAAACGTGAAATTATCTGATGGAAACATTGCTTTCAGAAGTGTTTAAACCAGGGGTCACCAACATGGTGCCACCTGGTGGCCCCATTAGATTGCCTGAGATGGCCGTGGGGTATGTTCTAAAAATGAAACTAGTCAACAAGAGGGTCAGACATTGTACTGTTATTGTGTTTTTTGAATTAGTTACACTTTCAATGATATTCAATAGGGTGCAATGACGATTGTAAGAACAGTGTCTACTACTGAATGTCTCATGATTATCGTTCGGGAGTCTGTATCAAACAAGTAGCTCTTATTTTCAAAAAGGTCGGTGACCCCTGGTTCAGGCTTTCACGTAGGATATGGAGACAATCTGCGTTGTTATTTTCATAGAAAGAAAAACAATTTGTCAGTTGTCTTTTTATTGTATTAATAATTTTTTTTTTTTTAAAAAAAGAGTTATATGATAAATGTCTGAAAGGGTCTGAGGCATGTTTGTTTATGTATTCCACAGCAGATGCAACCTCTGTAATCTGAGTGGTGTCTGATGTGTTATGACAGCTGATTTTGAAGAGTGAGTGATCGGAGAAAAAAACAAAAGAGGACAAGATATGATAGACGCTAGCTCATTGAGATTCTCAGCAAACAAGAGGTTTTTTTTTCTCAAGATATGATAGACGCTAGCTCATTGACATTCTCAGCAAACAAGAGGTTTTTTTCTTTTTTTTTAAATTCGTGAATACAATACAATTTTTTTATTTATTTTTTGGTTTGTTTTACACAGGTAGGTAACTTTTTGTTTTGGTAACGTATTATTATTTTCAAGGCTTCAACCATTTTAACTGGTTTTCAACTGGTTACTATTGAAGTGGCATCCATTTTTTATATTTTTGACAGTTTGAAAACCTGATTAAACAAAACGTAACAGGACATCGTCAGACGAGTTTTAGTCATTAGATATCGAACACCTTCAACAACTGACATGAACACATTTGGACTTAACTGCGGCACGAGACACGTTTTTCTCCTGCGCTTTACACATATATGTACATATGTTTTGAACAAATGCATATACAGTATGTATGTATTTGTACACGTGTGTTTAAATATACATATACACAGTATATATTTGGGCTATACACATATATATGTCTATATGCATATATGTGTGTATATATTTGGGCTATACGC